TCAACACACAAAATACAACAAAACAGCATCTATACACAACATACCATACACCACTCTACATCAATTCTTACCTAACAACAACAACTTATTACATTTAAAACATAATTTAATCATCATCCACACTATAAAAATGATATTTTATTGTATTTTACGATCAATGTTGATTGTTTATTGTTGAAATTTCCCGCACGGTGGTCGTGCAAATATACAGTCATTGCGCCTTAAATGAGGAAGAGAAGCAGCTCACAACCAAAAAAGGTGTTGAAAATCACTGAAAAATCAGTTTTACATAAAACAATCATAGTCATGTTTGATCTTGTTTTGATCTGTATTGATCACTGATTATAGTAATTAAACCTTCAATAAGAAATTCGAAAAAAAATACATAAACTAAAAAAATATTTTTTAGGAGGTGGTGATTTTAACTTGTACAAAACATAGGGCGTCCATGTTGATTGAAAGCTAAACAAATGAATGATTCTGAATCGCCCACGAACCAATAAAATTTGCTGAAAAACAGCTTTAAATAGAAAATTCACATTCATGTTTAGACTCGTTCAAGTTGTCAATGTGCACTGAATATAAATCTTACACTTTTATAGAAAAAATCAATAAAAGGTATAATGACCTAAAATATAATTTTTTAAAGAGATGATGTGTTGTATATTCTCTGTTTTCATATTCCTTGTTCATTGTGTAGCGCTTTGGTCCTCGTGAGTGTATTCTACATCGCATTGCGGCATTCGGCTACACTGAGCAACTGAGACCAGCACTCAGGATTTCTGCACGCAATGTGAATAGGCAAGACATGGTACGTATAGGAAACAACACATTATTCATTGTAAACAGTGAATGACAAATCGTCATTATGTAATTAATAAATTACTCATAAAATTATAACTAAATATTTAATATTAAATATAATTATGGTTGTAAAATACTGTGTATTTATTACTTTTATTAATGTTCAATTGCTTTATTGTGGTTTTAACCGTTGAGTGAAAGCAAGCAAATGAATGATTCTGAATCAAAATTTCTTGTTTTAAATAGGGCGTCCATGTTGTGATAGCCAAGATGAATGTTTCTGAATCACTCATAATAAGTTTATCAGCTTTTTTCAGCCATTTTTGGAATTGATTTTGTATCCATTAGTATTGTACACACAATATGATGATTACATTTTGCATTACATAGGCCTATTTCTACATATGTATGTAGGCCTAGGCTAGGCCGGGCTATGTAGTCTAGCCTAAGTATATGTGTACGCGAGACAAAGCATGAACAATTAAAAAGGCTGTACAGAAAACAGTTAAAACATACAGCAAGGTTTCAACCTGGCCACTTTTTTGACAAGCTTTAGTTAATTTATTAGGATTTGAATAGGAAGAAAGGTTAAATTCCACTGTATGTTTACTACGGGTATTTATTAGACTCAACCTACTACCTCCTCGACTTAATTCAGGAACCACAAGTCTGTGAAATTTGGGGTAAATGATATGATGTCATGGTGAATGATAGTTTATATAATATTTTCTTCTCTTTAGTATAAGTTTTATAATTAATTAAGCATTAGCATGCATCTAGCATGCATTAGGATGTACTTTTTTCTTCAGTTGAAATTCAGTGTGTATATGGGCTTTGCTTTATCCAAATAATCAAGTAGGTCAAACTATACATAATGAGATTTTTGCAAAAATCAGGCTAAAGGTTCCTATTTATTATACACTTGCCTAGGACTTTCTATTCATTTCTTCACTATTGCCTGGTCAACTGACAGGAAACAAGAAAAAAAAACATGCCTTCCATATATTTATTTATAGTTCTAGTATGTAACATTATTAATACACACAGCAGGTATGCTTTGTAATGCACCTCTATTAAATTGATACGTATTGATTGAAGTGTACCATAGAATTAGCGATATTATTTTTCGTTCATTGATCGAATCTTAGATTTTGTCATTGTCAAAAAGCAAAATACTAAAATAACAAAAATTAACAATTTTTCTCCTGAATAAACCTGCCTGTTTTGAATTCAGCGTGTTATTGTTTAGCTTCATCATAGCTCTAATAATAGTTTAAAACATATTTTTATATAAAATATTTTTAAAGGTACTATTACAGAACATCATGTAAATTGGTCTGTTAATTGTCAAAATAGAATAATTTTCCTGGTCCATAGGCCACTGGAATGCCTCACGTGAGCCCTTTGTCGCCCCCCTGGCCTCAAGCCTCATTTGCTTGCTTCGCTTGCAACCTGACCACTTTAATTTCTGTGGCTACAGCCCTGTTTGAGCTGTCAATGTACGGTTGTATTTTTTGACAGATGCTTACCAGTATGTTAATAATTAGGCCTACTCATGACACAGGCGAGTTTATCATTCAAAATACACATCGTCGTCTGATGTAAACACACTGATGTAATACAATTAACTTGATTAGCGTTGGTGCGTACTGCAGCACAATCGGCATACGCACAACTAATGTGTAGTGATCAAAACAATCGACGACCGCTACAACAGTTTGAATATTGCAGTACAGTAGAGAGTGATTGACTTACCATATAAAACAATCAGTGTAGTTTTATATTATAATATACGAAGGTTAAACTTATGCATAAAAACACATTATACGAGCATAAACTTTATTATTTTAATTTTAATACAGTAAATATTGACTAAAATAAACTTTATTATAAGTTAAGTTTGTTTTATCATTATTATTATCATTACTGTTGTTACTGCCATCGTCATTTTTTTTTATTTCAGTATTTTGGTATTATATGATTTGTAAATAAATACATATCTTAGTATTGGGGTTATTATCTATAGTAGTAGCATTATTATCAGTTGCATTTTCCCATGTAGCCTAAATATTATGCTGTGTGATAATGGCATTAAAAAATTCTTGAGTTGGCCACGTTTTGCGAAAATAAAAAAAAATGTTTAGTTCGTTAGGAATTTGTATTTTTGACCGATAATGTGTTTATGCCTAAAAAGTAGAAAATATATTAAAAGTACAACACAATTTTAAAATCTATATTAAGAGCAGAATAATCGCATAACACTGTCGCATCGCATTTGGCCTGATTTCCTATGATGACAAATGCAGCAATAAAATAAATTGAATAGAATGGAATAATCATCATAAAGGACATTTTTAGTATAACATGATAGTACTTTTAAATTATTGTAATGAATGAAAATTGTAATGAAAAATATATTTCTATGAAGTACAACTTGGTTATATTTACCTAAATTTTTAACTGCAATGTTTTAGATTGCATCATTTTTCTTGTTTACAGAGGTGTTGACTGTGTCTGGATTATTATTCACATTATGCTTTCAATCATTTGTATGATTATGAGCTCTCACTGATTAACACTGTTTTCAATTGACGTGTTACAGTTCGGCAATACTCCACTTCACTGGTTGTTACGAGCTAATCATTCATACCGAGATCACACAGATGCAACACGTTATTTATTAACGTACGGAGCACATACGAAGTTAACAAATAAGGTAAAGTAGATAAATGACAAAGATTATTATTATTTTTTTTTTATTATTATTATTATCATTATTATTATTATTATTGTTAATAATAATAATAATAAAAATATTATTATTATTATTATTATTATTATTATTAATGTTATTATTATGAAGATGTTGATAATGATGGTGATAAGGAGCATACTAAAATGAATGATGGCAACCATAATGTCGATATGGTAGTGGCAACTAATGATAATAGGATTTCGGCCGATAAACTCTGGCGAAATATTTATTCATGATCGTTGTAACAACAATTGATTGTCGTCAGCGTTTTATTGTTAACATGAATCTATACAAGATGCAAATGTAGAATTAAAGATTAATTAAATTGATATGTAAATATATTCAATTCAGTTGTAATTTTTTTGTGTGTGTAACATTTGTTGAAGCTTTAATGTAATTGTATTTCTTGATTAATATTAATTAATTTCATGAGGTATGATATGTGATTGTCGTTGCAGCGTGGTCAAACTCCAGCTGACGTGTATGTGCAAAACACATGTATGGAGTACGATTCTAGAAAAAGAGAAGAACAGAAAGAAATGCTCATGCGTCTCTTACAAAGTGAGCTGTTCATACCAACATAGTTCATATTTAATTAATTGTTTTTGTTTATATAAATCATTTTGAAATTCATAGTAGTATATTTATATGCATTGTGTATATTTAGTAGGAAATTCATGAAACACCAAATGTACATTAATTTTTTATGTGTCATATCTATTTTTGCTAGTGTATTTATGTGTATCGTACAGTGTATGTTATGTACTGTACTTACGTTTAAACACAGTAAATAAGAAACCCAATGTTAGTGGTATTATATACAGTATTTTGATTAGCAATCCAGGCGGCTGTTGGTTGCGCTTTGTGATGTTTTACAGCATTTTTTTATGCTTGATTCCCACAGAATGATAGCAATATCACTCAGTATATCATTGAATATAATACTGTAAAACATTTATTCAATGATGAAAACAAAACTAATACTCTAGGCCTATATTTTTTCTGTTCCCCATCGTAATTTATTCCTCCTCTTTTTGGAATAAATCAGTTTTAATCCTTCTTTTTTGTTTTGCAAGTTGCTTTTATCTGGGTTAAACTGCTATCCGTAATCACAAATGGGTATGATCAAAGTAATCGTCGCACCATTGATAAGAATATTGTTATGGGGAAAGAAATGCAACTATCGCAGTTAAAGCAATGAAAAAGGTGTATGCCTACAGATGAATGAATAGGTTAAAGACCTATCTAGTAAATATCGACATTGCAGGCCTCAATAATATTATCGATTTCTTTTCATATATAACAAATTTCATGAGGTAATTCAATGTGTAAATCAGAAATATTTATACTTAAAGCGGGGATGGTTCCAATGGAAATCTTGGCGCGTGGGCACGAAGCAATAGAAGCTTTTAATGATGCTCTAGCTGAGGGGGAAGCAGAGGTTAATCAAGAAAGGACATTTTTCATGGGCCTCGAGAGAGTCGGAAAAACATCTACTATCAAGTCATTTTTAAGGAATACGTAAGCTAAATATATTCAGTGGTTGCTTTCGCTACGTTAGTTAACCAGTTGAATTAGTTGAAGCCTTCAATAATGATTTTTGATTAACCTGTAATTCAAATATTCTTTGTATTAAATTCAATAATCGACAACTTAAATGAATGTATCATTCATTAATATCAATCCATTTCCACACATTTATTTATATATTAATTTAAATATGTACGTTCTGTACAGTAATGTGTATCTATATTATGCTTTCTGTAGTATCAATATCTTTAGATTAATCATTTCATTTTGCTTTAGATTTGATCCAAATGAGGGTATTACGGATGCAATTGCCAACACAAAGGTGTGTACTCATGAATTGCACAATGAATTGAATTGGAAGGAAGCACCACCTGATCATTGTAAGTAATGCACTTTTATACTTTTTGTACAAGTAATATAAATCCATACCGAGCCACGTGGCTCATATGTACTGTAACTCCAATTTCAAAAAGCGTGAAACGGATGAAAGCGGGATGTTCAGCTGGGGCGCTGGTCAACCGCAGGTTACACCCAGCAATTTTCTAATACCCAACTGATACAGCTGGGAGATTGAAGCAATGTAATAAAGTGCCTTGCTCAAGGACACAAGCGAAATGCACAGTGAAGGATTGAAACTAGACGTCAAGGAGGGGATTCCAAATAATTTCCAGTGCACCTAACTGCTTTCACTAAATGTGAAAACTTCCTTGTACCTATCTTATAAGTCACAGGTGAGCAAAGTGCGATCTGCGGGCCGCATGCGACCCAACAGTGATTTTTTAAATATAAAATGAAAACCTTATGTGTGCAAAAATGGCAGATTTCATAGCGAAAAAAATATTAGAACAAGAAGCGGAGAAGAATTTAGAAGTAACAAGACAAGTAAGATTTACACACTATCAACTTGATGATATTCATGAGCATTTAAGTTGGTTAATAGTGAAATATTTAATGCTACTAATAATGACAAATAATGGATAAAATCCAGCTAATGTATGTAATGGTTGATTTATTATTTCTTTTTGTTTTACAATATTTGAAGAGCGAGTCACCACCAGCTAAAAAAAAGAGGAAATATAATCAGGGTAAGACGTTCGTGTTTGCATTTCATAAGAAATTGATTTAATGAATACATTATTTTTAATCGATATTTCACACAGAGGGCCATCACATGTCAGATCAGCATTCACAAATAGATCAGTCTAAAATCAGTTATTTATAACTAAGGAAATGAAATTAATCATAGTAAATTATATCTTATTCAAATTAATTATTTATCTCTGAACAGCTGGTGCCAATGACATGTATGAAGCAAAAATGGCAGATTTCATAGCGAAAAAAGTATTAGAACAAGAAGCGGAGAAGAATTTAGAAGTAACAAGACAAGTAAGATTTACACACTATCAACTTGATGATATTCATGAGTATTTAAGTTGGTTAATAGTGAAATATTTAATGCTACTAATAATGACAAATAATGGATAAAATCCAGCTAAAGTATATAATGGTTGATTTATTATTTCTTTTTGTTTTACAAATATTTGAAGAGCGAGTCACCACCAGCTGAAAAAAAGAGGAAACATAATCAGGGTAAGACGTTCGTGTTTGCATTTCATAAGAAATTGATTTAATGAATACATTATTTTTAATCGGTATTTCACACAGAGGGCCATCACATGTCATAGCCTTGGTGCCGACGCACCTCTATTAATAACATAATACGTATGGTTGCTCATGGAACAAGTATTAAAGGTACATTGCCAAAAGAATACCACATGGAACAGCTAATAGAACTTGGAACAAGAGATAAAAAAAAACTCTCATTAACTCACTGACACTTCACTATACCAAGCACTACCTAACCTTGTAGGGTCAGTGGAAAACCCCATTATCCTACTATTTCTTGGTTTTGAAATATAAATTATAATTTTTTATTCTGAATCTTCTATAAGGACAATCATCATCGAATGTTGACGCCAGAAACCCGAAAATGGAATCAGATACCAAAGGACAGACACATACCCATTCGATGGAAGAGGTCCCCGAAACCATCGCCACTAAAGCACAGGAGCGAATAAAAGAACTCAAGTTCACAAGAGGAAATGCGACGCAAGAATGTCAAAAATCTGGCAACGATTTCATTATGAGTATCTGGGACTTCGGAGGCCAGCCAATATATCATGTGATACAACGAGTAAAGTCATTATATTGAATGAAAAATTGAATAAAATTATAGTTATTAAAATTACAAAAATAATTATTCTAGGTATTTCATTCAGTTTTCGATAGTAAAAATAATTGATTGTGATCATTTTCTTGTAGATTTTTATGGTATCTTTTGCCATTGTTTGTGTGGTATTTAACCTGGAAGATGATCTTGATGCCCCAGCTAAAGTCAGGGATCCAACCACTGTAAGCATTATTTCTTACCAACATTTATTCATTAGAAGGTTTTGCATGAATTTTATCAACTTTAAAATCAGGATTAAGTGGTCTTACACAGATGACACACAGTACATTAATACATACGATATTTTCTTTAAATTATGTTGCTGTATTTATTTCTGTTTTATTTCAGGGTGATATATACGAACATCGGATGACAAACCTTGAGTTCATTCTGTACTGGATTCGTTCAGTATATACAAACAGTAGGGATTCAGAATTGGAAGATGGGCAACTTTCACCGCCAGTACTAGTAATTGGTACGCACCTAGGCAGCCTCGAGGGGAATGAAGAGGAAAAGAAAAGAAAGGTAAACAACTATGTCATACACCCAAACACCAAGTAAACGATAAAACAGTATAAAGTACGTAACATATCATAAATATACCACAAACAAAATAGAAGGTAATAAGTTAGACCAAATAAATTAAATGTGTACAAGTTATATATGTGATACTTACTTGACACTTGATTGTGGTGGGAAAGGATTAAGCCTCAGTGGCATTTGTAAGCCCACATCGACTTAGTACTGTATTAATGATTTTGAGAAAAGAAATCTTTTTTATATATTACCATGAAACATTTTTTTATATAGCAATTTACTGAAAATGTGACTACAATAACAAATTTTCACACAAATACAAAACACATGCCAAGACGTACAGTTACAACATTTTAATTTTTTGGTTTTCTTATATATATATATATTTTCTAATATCTGAATTAAGTAATTAACGCTTTCTGTGGTATAACATTAAATTGTGTTGTGGCGAACCACTGGCAAATTATGACTGGCACAAGACCAAACAGTCATTGTTTTGTGATCATAGAGATCTGTTTCCATTTTGGATGAATAAGATTGTTTTTACATTTACCTTGACCTTGCCCACCCGACAATAAAAGGATGGCAGACAGTAAGAAAATGGCTGAACAAAGCTGTTGGATTTTTACAAAGTAAAACATACAAACAGCAATGTAATTTTTTCTCTAATTTTTTTAGAGTGCGCTGCATTATTTAACATGCACCTTATAAATAGTGGCCAACTGCATAACATTTCCATTGTGTGCTATAATATACATTGCATCACTGCAGTTGGTGAGGGGGTGGGGGGGGTGGTTGCTCCAGGATTTGCCTGACGTGGGGGTCATAGTTTCCTTGACAAGAAAAAGTGGGCCTGGTCGGGCGTTGCTCAACATCTTTGTAAACTGGTTCTGGGTGGGGAGTTCCCAAATCCCCACCCCCCCCCCACAAAAAAAATATGAAAATTTAGGGGTTTCAAAGGAAAATATATAACTTTTTTTTTTTCTCCCAGATGAATTGTGGTTTTTTTCCCGTCAGCCTGTCCCCACTTCCCCCCCCCCCCCCCAGGGGCCC